TTGTTACACAAAGTGGGGAACAAGAGTTTGATATAATACCTTGAAAATGAGTGCTTTAGTTGGATTAGGGGCCAACTCTATTTTGGAATTCAAGAAAGAAAGGAAGAAAGGATAAAAAGGGGAAAGAGAAAAGAAATACGGAAAATAGCGACAGAATTACCAATTTAATTCCATCATTTAAAATTAGTGCCACACTTTCTTCTTCTTTGTGTTATTTCCGTTTGAATTTTCTTCTTCTTTATGTCTAATACCCATAAGGAATAATTTGTAGAACAAAACTTAACTCTACCTAATAAAGTGAAAGATAGCAAATCTAACATAAAATTAAACAAGTCCAAGTAAAAATGAAAATTCTTGATAAGAAAATACAATTATATTCTGAGGGAAAGTGATAAAAAGTCAATTAGAATTTTCTCAAAATATACTGCATCATCAGCAAGAAAATACAATTATATTATTTTCTCATTTTCTTTTTTTAGCAATAAGGAAAATTAATACTCTATATAATCAATATACTTTAATTACAATAAAGGCATTGAAGACCTATATGAGGAAGGACAGATATTTTTTTTCCATTGAGCTAATTAAATATGATCAACATTTATTTAAATTTTGGAACTTACTTTTTGAAAAAAAAAAATTTAAAACTTTATACTCACTATAAGGGTAATTTTAAAAAAAAAAAGTAAATTCAATGATAATTGTCAGCAATTTCCTGCAGACAGAGAGAAAGCTTCAGAGGTTGGGATATCATGACCATATGGCCAGCTTTGGCAATATATTTGACTTCATGAGGAGGGCTCTTCTGAATATTATACATTTGGAATTCTTCTTCCATGACTGGATCATCATGGCACAACACGTAAACTCTTCTCACCGACCCATATTTCTCTTGTGTCAGCAGCCCTTCCTTTGACATATCTTCTGTGAAAAACTTACCTGGTCTTATCAGCATTTTTGCCAATTCCAAGTCCTGAGTTGACAAAATATAGCACGTCTCTCATGAAAATTTTAATTTTTTAGCTACATGAAACCCTTAAAATTTTAAAAATCACACTGATATATATCTCCTTCATATATTCTTAATACAGTTATAACAGCTATTTTCTCGGTCTCACTTTATGTGATACTGACATGATTCGAGGGTCAAATATATCTAATTTTTTATGTGATTTCGAACATAGAATCTTCAAATTTTTTGAAATAAAATTTGTATATTTAGACACTACATATAAAGTATTATAACACAATAATTAATACTTCAAAATATTTAAAAGGTATATGAAAAATTACAATCGAAGAAAAACTTCTTTAACTTTTTAAATAGTAATTGTGTCACATAAAATGGGAGGAGTAATATGTTTTTTATGGAAAGAAAGAACAGTTTAATTTTTCTAACCATTATTATTAGTTTAAGACATCATCATTTAATAGGTTGATTAAAGTATATATATGATCATAAGTGAAACCAGAATTTACAGCTTATTGTTCGAGATTTAAATCATTTTAAGTAATTACTGAATTTTTAATTAATAATTTTTATATAAAAAAACTTCAAAATAAATATAGAATTTAAACCAAAAGACTATTTGGGTTCGGTCGAACTCGTAACTGACACTCTAGCTTCGCCTCGGTGTGATGCATACATGCAATTACAATATGCCCACGCCATGAGTATGTCCATATTAGTAAATTCAGCTTTAATAAATTCTTAGCATTTGAGGGGTGTCTCTCTTTGCCTGTGTATGAATAGTGAAGTGATTAGTGAATGTCAATTTCTCAAAACTTTTTCGTACGCGGTTTGTATCGGTCGTTAGATTTCCACCTCTATCAGTACTTACTAGGAGTAATAACAGCGACGTGTTTTGTTGCAATGTATCATAGTCATCGATAGGTTATTCTCGTATAGATTTAATATATGTGCATTAATACTGGAAAATAATTTTACGAAATCAATTAAAATAACATGATGATATGAGTTAATTCAAAAGAAAATAGTGACGATTTATAAAGCTGACTTCCAATTCGATTGGGGCCGGGATGATAAATGGAACTTTTATAGAAAAATTTATTGATAGCGTAATTATTTTTTTTCACTATTTTAGTTTAAAAGTTAAATCTAGTTAAGAGGACATGCATTCAATCCTTAAAAGCAAATGCATGTACATATATAGTAAACAATTAAGAAAATAACCTCTGTTTGGCAATGATTGTAAAGATTAGCTTGCATGTATTGTGAGCCAAAAATAGCTGATGTTGGTGGATTTTTCACTCCTTGGTCGAATGTGAAATGACAATCTATGAGTGACTCCATTGAAGTCCTCCTAAAGAACTGCAATGTAACCCCAAAAATTTGGCGAAAACAAAAAGCAACAATATTTCATTCATCAATTATAAAGCAAGAAAAGAATCTGCATGAAATTTCCCTAGAAAAGATAGACACGCAAAGTAACTCTTGAATAAGAAGTGTATTTTAAATGTTGTAACAAATTACTCGTTTCACTTTTTCTGATTATTAGTCTCATATATGGTTATCTATAACAACCTTCTTTTGACATGATAGATTGCAAAACGATAGACATGTAAAATACCTCTTGAATAAGAAGTGTATTTTAACATATGTTGTGATAAGTTACTGTCTCATTTTTCATATTACTTCCACTTGTTGTAGGTTATTTGAAATTATTTGTAGGTGATCTAATGGTATAAAACCTTTATATTGTATAAAATTTATTAAAAACTATTATTAGGTCGGATCCGCCTGTAAGAGGTACTAGATGGCCCGCAAACCTATTAATTATTCCTTCACGTAAAACCCTAGAGCTAACCTATGTAGATGCCATTATGGTGTTTACGGAGAGGTTTCCATCATAATAGAACATCTAGAATTGAGAGGAGTTTTATGCATGATGTGTGGCTATAATTCATGGTTTAGCACATTATGTGCCTTGCTTTTTACATGTTTTAATGATAAATTACACTTTGTTTGAGCTTAATGGAGTCTATTTTATGTGTAGGCGCATTAGAAATGAAAATAGAGCTAAAGGGATGCTTAAACGTCGAAAGTGCGCTCGAGAACGATGAAAAGGAGAAGCCGCGCAAAAGCCAAATCGACCATGCGTTAGCCTGGCGAGGCCAGCTTAAAGCCAGGTCCAACCAGGCGTTAGCCTGGCGACGCCTGCTTAAAGCCTGGCCCAACCAGGCATTAGCCTAGCGACGCCAGCTTAAAACTCGAACTGGCCTAGCCTTAGGCCTGGTGTCACCTGGATAACGCCAGCCTCAGCCTGGCTTTAAGCTGGCGTCGTCAGGCTAGCTAACGCCTGGCTAGGCCTGGCTTTAAGTTGGCATCGCCAGGCTAACGCCTGGTTGGGCCTGGTTTTAAGCTAGCCTCGCCAGGCTAAAGCCTGGTCGAGCTAACTTTTGCCCGGCTTCTCCTTTTCACCGTTCTCGAGCGCACTTTCGATATTTAAGCATCCCTTTAGTTCTATTTTCATTTTCGATGCACCTACACATAAAATAGACTCCATTACGCTCAAATAAAGTTTAATTTAACATTAAAGCACGTAAAACACAAGAGAAATGCAAAGGCCACCATAACTATGATTGGATTGATTTGCTTCGTGAGGATTTCCAGAGACCGATAACACAAGTCATGGTTGCTGCAAATCTGCTTCCGTTAAGGATAAAACCCTAAATCTCCTAAACTAGTATTTACGTTTTAATACCACGGGATTTAAACTCTAAATGAATGGAAATTAC